CAGTGACCAGTGACCAGTGACCCCTCCATCGGGGCCACCGGCACCCCCCCAGTGACCAGTGACCCCACCGGCACCCCCACAGTGACCAGTGACCAGTGACCCCTCCATCGGGGCCACCGGCACCCCCCCAGTGACCAGTGACAGCCCCCCGCCACCCTCCCAGGGTCCCCCCGGCGCTGTCACCCCCACAGTGGCACCTCCCAAGGGGTCCGGATGCCCCCACGGGGACCCCCCAGAGCGGGGACCACCGGCACCCCCGGAGTGTCGCCACCCCATTAAATCCACACTGGAGAGCGGGGCGTGGGCACAGCCGTGTATTGCCAAAACCCGGGAGCACCGGGAGCACCGGGAGTCCCGGGGCAGGACCCCCCGACCCTCCCCGCGGCACCCACTGTCCCCCCACTCACTCCGGGGGGGCTCCCAGCAGGTCTGGGGGTGCGCCCTGTTGCATCCAGCATCTCATTTGGGGGCACCTCCTGTCCCCCCATCCTGCCCCGGTCCTGGGGGGGACAACAGCCCCCCAGGGACACCCCAGGGACCCTCGTGCTGGGGGGCAGCAGGAATGGGGGTGCCCTTCCCTGACCCCAAACCTGTCCCGCAGCCAGGGCCCCCCATCCCAATCCCGGAGTCCTTCTGTTCCCCATCCCGAGGGTGCCCCCGTCCCATCCCCACCCCGCAGCCAGAGTCTCTCCGCCCCATCCCAGGGGGTCTCTGCGCCCCCCATCCCGGGGGTCTCTGTGCCCCCCATCCCGGGGGTCTCTGCCCCGTCCCAGGGGTCCCCCCACCCCGCAGCCCCCCTCAGATCTCCTCCAGGAAGTCCACAGGGAACAGCCCCACTTTGCGGCCCGTGAAGACTTTGACGTAACCGTTCACCTCCTCCCCCTTCTGCACCACGATCTGCGGGCGAGAGGGGCCCGGGTGAGACCCCCGGGACCCCCCCAGATCAGGGGGAACCCCCCCAGATCAGGGGGAACCCCAGGTATGGAGGGTGAGGCCTCCATCCGAGGCCTCATCCGAGGGGCTGGGGCAGGTGGGAAGTGGGGGGACGGTGATGCTGGTTATGGGGTGCAGCTGTGATGGGGGGCTTGGAGGGGGGCTGGGGGTCCCCGGGTGGTGATGGGGGAGTGGGTGGGAGGGAGGGGTCCCGTCTCACCTGATCCTTCTTGAGCGTGATCTGCCCGATCTCCCGGTTGCCCACGAAGGAACGCGTCACCTTGTGCACCCGCTCGCCTGCTCGCACGCGGATGATGAAGTTTGGGGGGAAATACCCGATTTTCTCACCGATCTTCCCCTGGAAGGAGGGAGTGGGGGAGGGAAAGGAGGGGTTGGGGCCGATCCGGGGGTCCCAGATCCCCCCTCAGCGAGGTTGGGGTGACAGCAAGTCTGGGTGTCCCCTCTCGCGGTGCCACGAGCTTTCCCAGCCGCGCTCCGGCCTCACCCGCCACCACTCCTCGTTGGAGTCATCCACCACCGTGATCTTCTCCCCCGGCCTGGAAGGGAAGGAAGGGTTCTCTGAGGGGGGCAGGACCCCCAGCCAAGGGAGACCCCGAGGAAAATCGTTTTTCCTTCAGAATCAGCTCCTCCAGCCCCGTATGTGGCATGGGACACGCAGCCCGTGGGCTCGGGGACAGGCAGGTCCTGCCCAGAGCAGCTCAGCCTTGGGAAATCCATGGAACCACGTGGAGCCAAACCCCAAAAAACCTTGGGAAAGAGCTCGGGACAAGGTTGGGAACTCACGGGAAGTCCAGGTCGTCCTTCTCCAGGGCTTTGAAGCGATAAAGCGCCACGAAATAGTGGGACTGCAGGAACCCCCCTGGCTGTGGCTTCTTGCTCTGGGGGACACAGCAGGGTTTGCAGTCCCCAGGGGCTGCAGACAGCCCTGAGGATCCCAGCAGGGAGATCCCACGAGCTCTGCTCAAGGCTTTGGGGTGCAGGGCGAGGATGTGAGGGGTACCTTGTCATCTGTTGTGCCCTTCTCAGCCTTCTTGTCCCCTTCAGAGGCACCTGGGAACAGGAGGAGGGGTCACGCCTCTCCTGGCGGTGCCTCCCGGGGGTCTCCTCGGCCAAAGTGGGGATGCAGCGAGAGCCCCAGGGTGAGGACATGAATGGAGGACCCTCTTTCCGCAGGGCAACCCCCCTCAAAACACAGCCAGGGGCTCCCTCCGTGTCCGCGTGGGCTCAGCCCCCCAACCCTCGGCCCCACGCTCACCACCCTCAGCTTTGCTCCCCACCGGCTTCGTGGCCTCTGGCTCCTCGTCCATCATCGCAGCCAAGGGCTGGAAGGCAGAGAGAGCTCTCAGAAGGTGCAGAATTTGGGGGGGGGCTGGAGGGTTCGTGGGGCGCACCGGCAGGAATCCGGTGAGAGCCCGACCCACACTCACGTTCTTCTTGTCCTCCTGCCCCTTCTTGCGCTCCTTGTTGGCCATGATGACGCCCGTCCGCAGCGTCTCGAACACGGGGTCGCTCCTGTTCGCTGCGGGGGCAGGAGAAGGGTCAGGGGGGGACAGGTTGGGGCAGCCCAGGCTGGGTGCCAAGGGGACGGGGCAGCCCAGCACGGGGGTCTCACCGAGCTGCTCCTTGGTGCCGGCGTACTGCTGGTCGCTGTAGAGGGGGGAGCTGTACGCCCGCCGGAACCCGGGCGGCTGCGAGGACCGAGGAGGGGTCGGAGCATCAGCCACCCCCCGGCCCCACCTCTCAGAGCCCGGGGTACCCCGGAGGGAGATGCCGGGGTCCCCCTCAGAGCCAGGGAGTGACAGGGGTGGTGGCACCCGCGTCCTGGCCGCTCCCGGGGGGGGACACTCACGATCTTGCCGAAGCAGCGCTGCATCTCCACGTAGGACTGGCAGTGGTGGTGGATGTTGGTTTTGCAGTTCTTGCACCTCAGGCCAAATTTGTTGTTGACTGGCAGTGGGCGGGGGGGGTGGAAAGGAGAGGGAATGTGACACTGCAGCTGTGAAACGGCCGCGACGGAGCCCTGCGCGGCCTTGGCCCCCAGCCCCAGCCCTGCCCCCAGCCCCCAGCCCCAGCCCTGTCTGTAGCCCCCAGCCCTGCCCGTGCCCCCCAGCCCTGCCCGTGACCCCCAGCCCCGCCCGTGACCCCAGACTTGCCTGTAGCCCCCAGCCCCAGCCCTGCCCGTGCCCCCCAGCCCCCTCAGGACTCACGGACGATCATGCGGGCACAAACATCACAGAATTTGGGCTTTTTGAAGTAATGGTCTTTGAACTTGTGGGGTTTGTCATTAACAAGTTTCTCGGGTTCGGGAGGGGGCTCGGGCTCCTCCTCCTCCTCCTCCTCTTCCTCATCCTCATAGATGTAGTAGATGGGTCCCCCCGAGGGGCTGACCAGCTCCCCGTTGGGCTGTGGCTCCGGCGCCGGCTCCTCCTTGGGTTTTCGCTGGAAAAGTTGCTTCAGCTTCTGCAGCTGCTGGGGCGGGAGGGGACGGACGGTGTGTGGCAGCGTGGGGGAGGCAGGAGGGCACACACCCAGCTCCTCGCCCCGGGGACCCCCTCCACGAGCGGGAGGAGACTCCAGGAATGCTCTGGAGATGGGGAGCCTCCTCCCAGCCCCGTGAAGTCTCCACAGAAGAGGAAGCTGCGGTTCCTGAGCCCCTCACGGATGTGGGTGCGCCACAGGGAAATGCCAAGCTGGGAAATGCCCACCCAACACCCGGCTGGATCAGGGTCCCAGCGGGCACCCCAGGCCTCCCACAGCCTCCTGGGCTGCGGCAGGATGATGATGATGATGATAGAGAGGGGGCTTCCCCCGCCCACCCAAACTGCCCTGTGGGCACCCACTTACCCGGCTCTTGGGTTTCCCACCTGAAGCAGGTGAAGCTGGTGGCTCTGGCACTTCCTTCTCCGTCATGCTGCAAGGGGAAGAGCAGAGCTGGAGTTGGCTGGGGCAGTTCCAGCTGCAGGAGCCTGGCAGGGGATGGTCAGACCTTGCTGGGTGGGCAGTGCCACCCCTTCCCCTGCCCGTCCTGCAGCCCCTGTCTCAGCGAGGGTCACTCCCAGCGCCCATCCCAGCCCTGCCCCGTTCTGGTTCTGCCTCGGTGAGCCCCAGGGCCAGGCCGGTGCCCGGCCCAGAGCGTGGCACATCCGCTGGCTCAGGGACGTGGTGCCAAGTGCTGTGAGCCAGCCCCTGGGCTACCTGCAGGTGCCCACCTCAGCCCGGACATCTCCATCTCACCGTGAAACCACAAACTCGGCCCCTCAGACGAGCACACGGGGGGCACCGACGGGCACTGACGGCTTTCGGCTGCCACCGGGGCAGGACCTGCTCCTGCATCCCCCAAACCATCCCGGTGCCACCTCCGACAGCCTCTCCGCAGTGCTTCCACCCAGACCTCCCTCTTTTTGGCGATGCCCACCCCTCAAGCCCCTCCAGCCCCCCGTGGAAAGCAGCCAGGAAAACCATCAGGAAGCAACAAAGGGGCACGGGGAGCGCCGGGGCGAGGGGCGCTGCGGGAATGGGGCACCCCGAGGCCCCGCAGCAGCGGGGGAGCTCCGGGCGGGCACGGCCACGGCAAGAGCGGGCACAGGGGGCACTTACCCTGCGCTTGGCGGTCTCGCCCTGCGCTGAAGGAGCCCCCGAAGGGCGGCCGGTGCCGGAGCCGCGTTGGCCGCAGAGCCCCCGGGCCTCGGTGGCGGGCGGCAGCCGCGCCGGTCCCGGGCCGAGCGGAGTGACAGGGCAGAGGGGGACGACAGCTGAGCGGTGGCGGGGCTGACGCCGGGAAATTGGAGCCCCGGCGGGAGCAGGCGGAGGAGCCACCGGCTATTTGCGTTGGTGGGTTGCTGGGCGTGCCAGGGGCCCCCCCAGCCTGGCCTGGGACAAAGAAGGAAGCGGGCACAGCCAGGGCTCGGGGAGCTGGGCACAGCCAGGGCTCCGGGAGCTGGGCACAGCCAGGGCTCCGGGAGCTGGGCACACCGAGGGCTC